CAATCAGTCTAGATCTGAAGTGCACGGAATCGTCCGCGCAGATCGAACACATCAATGCGAGAGTCAACCCCGGTAGCAGATGCGTTGATCTTACCACCAGCTATGTCATGTCAACGCGTAGCCCACACTGGTGATGACACATAATATCCACTGGCTGATCAAGAAGTGAATGATGCTCTCAATGTACACCACCATCCCTCGTGAGCAGCGAATGCTGCTGCTTCGTCGCTCGCGGATCTGTAAAGGAGGTGGAAGTCGGAAGGAACGACCTTGCGTTTCATGTTCGTCGCTGCCAGAAGAAGCGAAATAAGGAGAGAACTACACGTTACTGCCCAGACTGGAAGGAACCGCCGAGGTAAGCAGATTAAGACCACGAATGCAGCCAATGCCTCGAAATGCAGAGTATGCCATGTCGTATCAATTTGCATTGTTACTCGCACAATGATAACGGCTTCCAAACGCAAATACTACTCTGCAGCAGGAATCGCATCCAACGCCCTCTTAAACGTCTCGACCAACTTGCTTGTCTCCTCCAACCCAACACTAAAACGAATCAAATCCGCTTCCACGCCCCATTTCGCACACCAATCCAACTCGCCATAATGCGCCAAAATGACATACGGCGAGCTGAGTGTAAAGTTTGTACCCAGACTAGGTCCTTTCACTGTATCGAGGTTGTCAAAGAAGGCGATGGCGTCGGCTTTTGTGTAGAAGGTGGCGGAGAGGAGGCCGCCGTAGCCACCGGACGGGTTGCGGCATTTCTCATAGAAGGGGCGCGTTGGTGAGGTTTTGGGGTAGTTTACTTGTTTGACTGGAGGTTGTGTTAGATGGGTGCTGGTTGAAAGAGATCAGGCGTGGAAAAGGTACGTACCGCGAGGGTGTGCGCTGAGTACGTCGCAGATGGCTTCGGCGTTGGTACCGATACGATCGATTCTTGAGACGAAGTCACGGCTGTTGCGCTCGAGGAAAATGCTGTCTTCGGCCCAGTGGTTGTCTTCGTAGTCTTCTTCCCATGTGCGCTTGAGGAGGGCGTAATTCTTTGCTTTGGGGTTGAGCACCAGTCTGTACATTCCATGTTAGTGCGTGTCTTTCGTCAGTGGCCAGGATTGATGCTCACCCTCCACCCATGACATTGCTGTCTCCGCTGAACACCTTGGTCAGACTGCTGACGACAACGTCCGCATACTGCAAAACATTGACATTGATGAAGTTGCCAATCGTCTCATCTACGACTACGCAGAAGTCGTACTTGTCGGCTAGTTTGCGTATGCGCTCTAGGTCCGGGGATCTGAGTAACGGGTTTCCAGGGAACTCGGTGAAGAGGGCGACGAATCTCTCGCCACCTTCTAATCGTTGCTCGAGGTCGTCCAGCTCTTCTGATGAGCCGAAGCCGTAGAACTGTGAGCCGGGACCAAACTTCTCGGTGATTTTCAAGGTGTCGATGTATGGGAAGCTGAAGCTATTAGAGTGGTACAGACGCGGAGACTGAAAAGCTTACCCATAGACGATGGCCCTCTTTGAGCCCTTTGCTCTGAGTAGATTCCTGTGAGCGTTGAAGATGGAGCTCATTCCCGTGGGGTACAGATAGACGTCATCTTCGGAGAAGCCTGCTACTGGCCTCTTCCTTGCCGCGTCATGATCCAGGGTCATTGCTTCCGTCAAGCTGACGTCCGCTGTTAATGAACCTGCAATGCGCCTTCGAATGGCCAACTTTGCATTCTTGGTTTTTGAGAGATCCAAGTTGCGTCCGAATCTTTCTTCGACGAACTGCGAAGGATCTTGCACTTCTCCGTTGCCGTTGGTGGATGTGTCCGAAGCGCCCAGGTCAATCGACGTCTGCTTCTGATACCGTCTGGGTCCTTTGCACACTCTTGCTGGCTGGTTGACAGTGGAAGCCTCTACCAAAATGCCCTCCTTGAAGAGCTGAGAGCAATACTCTGCTCTACGACTTGAGACACCATCTCCGGAGTGCTGCCAAAATGTCTTTGCGATGCTGAAGCGATCTTTTGGGAAGAGGACGGCTGATACTCTCGGTGAGATAATTTGCAATTCGTCAGAGCGAGCTCTTTCAGCTGCCGGTACGAAATCCAGAATCCGAACTTGTGACGCATCCAGGTCTGGTGCTTGTCGCAAGAAGAAGTCTTGACACCTTGATGCCGTGGTGTTTGTGGGGAATAGCATTGCACTTTCTCCCTCTTTCCCATGCTTCTCGACGATTGCAGCCGCAAAGGCTTGTATGATCTTATGTATGAAGAATCTTGTCGTGGTTAGTATACGTTCGCCATCTGTCTCGCCACACAGTACCTAGGGTAGCCAGTCTTCATTTTGCTGATGACCCATTCTTCACCCTCTTCATATCCAACGTTTGCCCGCCATGTCGGCAGTGACACACTAACGGCCTGCCTCTTATCAGCCTATGGTGTGGTAGTCAAGAGTGAAGTTGGACGCACGTGCTCAGTTGCCGGCGGCAGACTCTCTCCGACTTCTACATCGTTTTCCAGGGCCATGGGCGACATGTTGCAAGCACGACCGAGAAAAAATGTGGTAAGGCAGGACTAGAGAATAGCGAAGACACCAGTAACGGGGCAGGTAAATGAGATGTAATGGCGCAATGACTCCCCAATTGCACCATGGCTTATTCCAAAAGCCGATTAGCTCCGACTTCGGCACTTGGGTAGGAAATTTAAGGTTATCGATAATGCAGCGTCACTTCCTCCGCGTCGCAGTGGCAGTCCGGAACGTCAGCGCATCCACATATGCACCCTCGACTCGCACTGGCCCCACTTTGGCGTTGCTTTCTTCTGTAAGGGTTCAGCCTAGCTCTCGATAGCCAGACACCTGAGCACCGCGAGCACGACCATGGACAACCTCACCCCTTCCGACCTCTTCTCGCCCTCCAAAGCGCGTCAGCAGCGCGCACAAGCCCAGGACTGGGCGCACATCGACTCATGGCTGTCGTACAAGTATGCCGGGCGCACGGTGCCGACGTTCGAGCGCAACGAGGAGACGCTCAAGGTCCTCCGCGAGCTGTCCATGGCAAATGAGCGCGCCGACGAGGAGAGGACCGTCATGGAGCGCCTGGAGAGGGAGGCATTGAAGGAGCTGGACGAGGTATGAGAACTGCAGGTCCGCATCAGCTGCCGCGCACCGAGCACCCTGCTCACAACGGTAGGTCCCAAGGAACGAAGTCGACGAACGCATCCTGTCCAGGCTGCAAGCGAGCCTTACCCCCGAAGGCGAGCAAGCGCTCGATGCACTCGCATCCACAGCTGTGGCTCTCAACCTACCGACCGCCAACCCCGAGAGCATCGCGCACGCTCTCATACAGCACACGACCGCCTCGCAGAACCTCACGAACCAGCTGCAGCACATCCACACGCTACAGAGCTACCTGGACAAGCAGCAAGCTCTCCTTCGAACCCAGCTCCACGAGCTCCAAACGAACCCCGCCTTCGCAACGCCGTCCAACCTCCAGCGCCAGACGACCGAGCAAACGCGTCAGGTTAAGCACCTACGCACCAAGATCCGCGAACACGAAGACAAGCTCTCGTCCCTCCAGTCGTCGCAATCGCGCAACATGACGCCGGGGTCCAAGAACGTTGGATCTGCCGAGGCTATAACCGACATGCTGGAGCAGCAGAAGGCTCTTGATGAGCTTCGAGAACGCGTAGAAGGCTTGGAGAAGCAGGTCGCAGAATTCGGTGGCTTGCCTGCGGACAAAGAGGCGGCCAGGAAAGAGGTGGGCAAACTGGATGTTAGGCTTGACGAACTACGGAGGAGACGGGATGAGTTGTTCGAGGGGCTGGTAGGACGGTAGTGATACAAGACGGCTATAGAGACTACGCTACCCTTCGAATCCCATCTCCGCCTACACGGGCGCGTCCGTCAGCGGCACATACTGCACACCATACAACTTTTGCCGCTCGAGACTTCCGTCCTTGTTCTTGTCGATGACATAGATATGCTGCGTCCCGCCTTCCGCGACCGGAACGAAGAGCCGGCCCGGAGCTTTCAGCTGATCGGTCAACGCCTTGTGGTGCACAGCTGCTGCAGCCCCAACATGAATAGCATCGTACGGCGCGCCCTCGGCCCATCCTTCTCGCCCGTCACCAGTCACAAACTTGATTTGTCCCGACTCCAACATCTTCCGCCCATCTTCTGACTTGCCCATATTCGCGTTCGCCATGTCGTTCAACGGCTGGATGTGGTCGATGCCAATAACCGTGCCGTTGGGCGCAACGAGGTTGGCGAGGACAGCTGTGAGGTAGCCCGAGCCAGAACCGACATCCAGGACTTTGGCCCCGGGTTCGAGATAGTCGAGGAGTGACTCGCACGCTGAAGCATGCATGTGTGGTGCGGAGATGGTGGCCTTGTGCCCTAGGGGTTGAGGAGAGTCATCGTACGGTTTGGCTGGGGCAAAGTGCGCGCGATCAACCTAGCGACTGTTATCATACTTGAACATGTTGGCTCATCAAACATTCGCAGCCCTACCCGTAACATGGCATCTTTAACACGGTCAGACCGGATCAGCTTGTTCTTTACAAGGTTGGTAATTAGAGCTTCGTTAGTCGCCCCAGAGCTTCGCCAAGCCATGCTGAAAGCTTGACTCTGTGCAGTTACAGATTGGGGCTTGAAGAAGAGGGAAGGTCCGCGTACGCGGTTGAACTTAGTCGAAAGAGGCACCGTGGAAAGCAGTACTAGGGGAGCAAGACGAATGGGGATGATTTAGTTAGACAGAGGTATGCTCATATAATCAAAGACCAGAACAAGCTTGAGCCTAACGCGATTATGTGTGTCAAGAGCTCATGATGCATGCACAGCAAGTACACCGGTGTACATGTGGCAAGCGCGCCCAGGTTACGAGCTCGTGGAGCTGTCAAAGAGGGGTGCGTGTGATGTAAACGCGCCATAACTAATCCCTGCTTATCGATAAGCCTCCGCTCCCAAAAGTTCCAGAGAAATTTCGCGTCGCATGCGCTCACACCTCACGAACCACCACCATGGCACCTCCCGCGACAAAACGCAGAAAGCTCGAGCACAGCGACTCGGAGGACGGCAGCGAAGGAAGTTTCGCCGATTTCGACGGCGACAACGGTGGAGTCGCGCTGGATGGCAGCGATGCCGAGGATGCGCTCGACCACAGCGATGCGGAGATGGACAGCGCAGAAGAGGTCCAAGACGACGATGATGAGGATATGAGCGGGGAGGAAGCAAACGACTTTGAAGAAGAAGAGGACGTCCACGAGAGCAGAAAGCAGACGACTGCCGGCAAAGCGACGAGCGCGTCCAAGCCGCCCAAGAGATCTGCGCCCAGCCTGCAAGACGGCGTATACACTGCGGAATCCTTCAAGTCGAACATGTTCAAGCTTCAGCTCGACGAGCTGCTCGACCAGGTCAAGCTGAAGTACGGTAAGAAGGAAGCTCCCGCAGAGAACGCGATGCGCACCCTCAAGACCATCATCGAGCAGATACCCAGCCGCGAGCCATTGCCAGTATGTGAAGAATGCTTCGAATGGGGTCAATACAAGCTAATCAACCGTAGATTGCTGAAGCCGAGAAAGCGCTTAAATCAGCCGGTGTCGCGGTGCCGTTCCCCAGTCCTCGCCCTCCCAAAGACGCCCTGTACAAGCTGCAGTACGAACGACCTGCGAGCATCAACGCGACCGGCAGTTACCCGCTCAAAACTGCGACTCGACACGACGAAGGGATGTCAATTGATCTGGTTGTGACAATGCCCAGGAGCCTGTTCACAGACAAGGATTACCTGAATCACCGATACTTTTACAAGCGCTCGTACTATCTGGCGTGCCTGGCTGCTGGCATCAAGGCTTCGAAGGAACACAAATTTCAATCATCCTTCGACTTACTGAACGGCAATCAGCTTCAGCCTATCCTAGTTGTACGACCGAGCGGAAACGGCGACGCGGACGACTTCTCGAGCTCCAAGTGCCAGATCAACATCCTGGTCGCGGTACCGGAGAACACCTTTCCGTCAAACAAACTGCTGCCCACCTCGAACTGCGTGCGACCAAAAGGCAGCGACGACGAAGCTTCCACCAAGACACTCACTCCAACGCCATTCTACAACAACACACTACAATCGGATGCCAATGTCACAGCCTACCTCAAGCTTCTTCACGGCACCGCTTCAAGAGCTGATGCGTTCAAGGATGCTTGTATACTTGGACGTGTTTGGCTGAAGCAGCGTGGCTTCGGTAGTCAGATTCGCAAAGGAGGTTTCGGAAACTTCGAATGGGCTGCGATCATGGCTATACTACTGCAGCCAAACGCTGGCACCGGCGCACAATCTGTCTCTTCAGGATTCAGCAGTTATCAACTGTTCAAGTCGACGTTGCAATTTTTGTCCCGAGGTGATCTCACGAAGAAACCGTTCATCTTCCAAGCCACAAACATCAACATACCCAAGGCCGAGACTGCGCCTGTCGTGTTCGATGGCCCTCGTGGACAAAATATCCTGTTCAAGATGACACCATGGTCCTACACGCGTCTACGATCCGAAGCGAAAGCTACCGTAGATATGCTCAGTGACTCTGTGTTCGATCACTTCGACGCGGCATTCATTCTGAAGACGGAGTTGTTGAAGTACCGTTACGATGCCACACTTGAGATACCTCTTGCGTCGCTTGGACTCGAAAACGCCGGTGAGGAATATGACCAACGCGTCAGCGAGACTTGCAAGAAAGTACATAATAGTCTGACTCGCGCGCTTACCGACCGCATCTCGGCTTTGTCATTTACCATGCCCGAAGAAGAGTCGTGGTCGATATCCTCGCGACGTCCCCAGGAGAAGCAAAGCAGAAGCATACTTGTCAACTTCGCTACTGATCCCGCCAACGCCACTCGCACTGTCGACCACGGTCCTTCTGCTGAGAACAAACAGGAAGCTGCAGCATTCCGAAAATTCTGGGGCGAGAAGGCGGAGCTCAGGCGCTTCAAAGATGGCAGCATTCTTGAGAGTGTTGTCTGGGCTGTCAAAGACGCATCTGTTTCCGTGATCGAACAGATCGTACTCTACATCCTTGGCAAACACGTGGGTGAGAAAGTGGCGCAATCAGCCAAATTCTCGAGCGATTCGTTCGGACATCTCATACCAGCTGGTCGCATGCAAGGACAATCTGGGACCGCGCCATTCTTGCCCATCATGAACGCTTTCAGTGCTATGGAGAAGGACATTCGAGATTTGGAAGAGCTCCCACTTCGCCTTCGCCATTTGAGGGCCGCCGACCCACAACTCCGATATGCGTCTATTGACGTTCCTGCTGCAGGCCATACTCCCGCCTCTGTCGTATTGCAATTCGAGGGTTCTGGTCGCTGGCCGGACGATTTGTGCGCCATACAACGGACCAAGATCGCTTTCCTGCTCAGGCTAGCCGAGCTTCTATCTAAGCTTGAAAATGGCTATGTTGTTCGCGTGGGCATGGAAAATCCGTCACAACCAGCGCAGAACCAAGCATTCCTCGATGTTACCGTCGCTGCAGGCTTCACATTCCGTATCCGCATCTACCACGACCGTGAACCTACGCTATTCGACCGCCAGATCAAGGACAAGTCATTGGATGGACCATCAAGGGAATCCGCTGCTGCATCCCTGGCACTCTACAAGCGCGAGTTTGTTCAGTCCCCTATGCATTCGCAGGTACTACAGACATTATGTACCCGTTTCTTGGCCCTCTCGCCAGCCATACGGTTGACGAAGAAGTGGTTCGCATCGCATCTTCTGGCTCCGCACTTCTCGCCTGAGCTTATTGAGCTTCTCGTCATCCGCACATTCCTGCAGCCGCACCCATGGCCTGTACCCACGACCGCAACTACTGGCTTCCTACGAGCTTTGTCTTGGATAAGCCGATGGGACTGGAGACATGTCCCATTGATAGTCGACTTCTCGACAACGTTCTCCGCAAACCCCGCAGATTTGGAGGACACCACATCTAAGGGCATGAAGTCTGAAGATCTCGACCGGTTACGGACGCGCTTCGAAGCATGGCGTCGCATAGATCCAGCCATGAACCGCGTTGTGCTCTTTGCTGCAACAAACCTTGACGAAGAGGGCACAACCTGGACTGATAAAGCGAAGCCTGAAAAGGTTGTTGCTGCACGTTTAACGGCGTTGGCAAAGGCGGCTACACAGGCTGTTCGAGCGGACGAAGACCGTCTGCTGAAGCATATCAACAACAGCAAAGATGTTGCTAAGTCACAGAACACATTCTCGCCCGAAGCACTCTTCACGCCCGGTATCTCCGACTTCGACATCACCATAATAATCTCCCCGAAACACACGCTCAAGCAAACCAAATCCAGCAAATCCACTCCCAAATTCAAGAACCTCGACCTCCAGAAGTCCACGACCAGCTCATCACCGGCCGCACCACCGCTCCCGCAGCTCTTCGCACAAGACCTACTAGAAATCTACGGCGATGCCGTGCTCTGGTTCTGGGACCCGGAGACACTGGACAAGATCGTCGGGCTGTGGAACCCGGTTGTCACTGCGCAGAGGAGCTGGAAGGTCAAGCCTGGATGGAACAGTGTTCTCGTGGCTGGCAAGAAGGATGACGTTGAGATTAAAGCGAATAGAGAGGGTATTGTGCATGAGATTAAGCGGTTAGGTGGGGAGCTTGTTAAGAGCGTTGAGGTTAAGGCATAGTTTGTAGGGTGGTGGACGATAGTGACAAGACATATAGGAGATATTTCGAAGGAGTAGTTCAGTGGAAGCAATACCCAAACCAAAGTATTCTTTTCGATGCAGGCATCACGGCGCATTGTTTTCGCTAACATATCTTGCATCCTTAGTCCGCTATCAATACCACCATCTCTGCATATTACCAGGTATAATCAAGTTTCTTCCGAGTAGAACGCGGCAGCAATCTCAACAGTACCAACAACACACGTGACGAAGGTCATAGCGTAGTGTTTTAGTATACAGATTCCGTGGAGTTCGGCCGACGTCACGTGAGCGCTTCGCTCAATTTGGCGTGAAGGATTACGCCCGCCTTAAGAACCCGCTTCCTTTGGTCCTGGCGGGTTAGTGCGTTGGTACGCCGTTTCTGTTGTATTGGATTACGCTAGGTGGATGAGGGATAATAGAAATTTAAAGAGACGGTGCGTGGATGAGGAAGGTGCATATAAATAGGATGGTGTCCTGGAGGGCAGAGTAGACAAGACCGTCGTGGTTTCTGCAATGTCTCCAAATGCCGGTATGAGAGAAACTATCCTGAAATCAACTTTTGGGTCTTTCGTGGGCGTAGAAGAAGATGGATTGAGGAGGTATCTCGGAATCAAGTACGCCGAGGTGAAGAACTGGCTCGCAGCGCCCGAACTCATCACTTCGTATGGCAACAAAATCGTCGATGCTACACGATACGGGTAATTTACCCTCTTGCTTTCCATCCTGCAGGGCTGCATACTAACTACACCAGACCACGCGCCCCAGCACCAGACCTCTGCACATTCGAGCAGTCCACCTTGATCCAATGCACCGTCGGCACCGCACCCGAAGTTCCCATGTCCCACTCGGAGTGTCTCAATCTGAACATCACCGTCCCGTCTCTTCCCACGGAAACCGGCAGTGCCCTGCCAGTCATGGTATTCATTCACGGCGGCGGCCTCATTATGGGCGCAAACTCTTGGCCGCAATGGGATCCTGCACGTCTTGTTAAGATGAGCGCCGATATTGGCATGCCAATAGTTGTCGTCAGTGTGAATTACCGACTGGGGGCACCGGGGAACCTGACGAGTGAGGAGTTGAGAAGCGCTGGGTATCTGGGGAACAACAGTCTAAGAGATCAGAGGTGTGCTTTGAAGTGGGTGAAGAAGTTCATCGGTGGCTTTGGAGGTGATGGAGAAAATGTTACCGTATTCGGGGTTAGTGCCGGTGCTGGTATGTTATTACAAGTCGTTATCTCAACGTGGATTGCGAGTGTGCTAATGTGAGACAGCCTCCGTATTGCATCATCTGAGTTGCAAAGAACCATTGTTCAGACGTGGGATCAGCATGTCTGGGACACCACTCATGCTCAAACCACTCTCACCCGCTGTGGCCGAAAAGTCTTACAAGGCTGTTCTGCAAGCCCTGGGACTCGAAGACGCTTCCACGCATGATCGTATTCAGAAGTTACTTGCCATGAGTCCCGAAGACTTGGTCCAGAAGATACCAATCAAGATTCCACTCGCTCCATACCTGGATGGCGACATGATTCCCGAAGCGCCCTCATTCGCGAACTTATCAAATGGTACGCTCCAGAGCTTGCACAACACTCGGTGCGAGGAGTTGTTGATCGGCTCGTGTGCAGACGATGGAAACGTCTTCTATCTCATGGGTCTGGGTTCGCGTCTTCCTGGCATCGCATCCGCAATCCATACATCCTTCTCCCGTAACCTCTCGGCATCGGTTGCTCAAATCGTCTTATCTGCATACGGTATCGCACCTTCAACTCCAGACGAAGAGGCCATGACATCCATCATCAATTTAGGAACGGACATCGCGTATGGGCTTCCTGCATCGTACTACGCGCGCGCTTTCAAGGGGAGGGCTTCCTCGTATCTCTTTACTGAGCCCAATCCCTGGGACGGCATGTTCAACGGGAAGAGCGTGCATTTGATGGATGCAGTATTCCTGTTTCAGAACTTTAATGAACATATACCTGATCAGGCGAAGAAGACGGCCAGGAAAATCGCGGAGGACTTTGTGGCTTTTGCGTACGGGCGGGCTGGTTGTACTTGGGCGGAGGGTCAGACTAAGATATATGGGCCAGACTCTGGCGATGTTGACAGGCTGGAGACATTAAGACAAGAAGGAGCTGTCGATCTCGATGAGGTCAGTGTGGCGTGGGATTTGTTTGTTGCTGGGAAGTAGCGAATGAGAGCTTCTAAGGTCTGGTTGGCCACATTCGTGTCGAGCACCCGAGTTCTCTACTTGGTCAGTCACAACAGCAGCAAAGGTTGCGTGGTTGTTGCTCATCTCATATCCTCTAATGCATTTCGGCATCGGTTTACCGAAAACGAAAATGCACGTCGCTCGCGAGTGTCCGCCGAGCGCTTTCACCCCCGCACGCCCCATGCAGTTTAGTGCGGGGTAAACTCGGCTCTGTACTCAACTCCCGACGTGCAGTATGTGGGGTCTTCGAGCACATCCCCACGCCCCATAACCCCAGCGACGACGATGTTTGCCGCGCAGCTTAGCCGGGACGATGTTTCCGATCGGCAAACATGCGAGAGCGATGGTGTAGTAAGGCATACCACGCTATTCTTTGACGGCGCATGGTATTTTCTTCCTTAGGAACTCGAGCATTGATCTTGCAAAGCACCATCAACCTCAAGCCTCGAAAACGCTGAAGCAATCAGTAAACAAACGACATGTCGAAACCAGTATCCATTGTGACAGGCGCCGGCTCCGGCATCGGCGAAGCAGTCGCAACCCACCTCTACAGCAAAGGCTTCAAAGTTGTCGTCGCAGACCTCAATCCCTCGTCCGGCGAGCGCGTAGCCAGTGCCCTTGGACCTGACGCCATATTTCATCAAGTCGACGTCTCATCATACAAATCGCAAGCACAGCTCTTCAAGCGCGCGTATGAATGGGGCGGCAACCGTCTGGACTTTTGCCATGCCAATGCTGGTATCGATGATCGACAGAACATCTTTGAGGATATGGACAAGGAGGAGCTGGATGAGGACGGCTTGGTCAAGAAGCTGAATACGAAGACTATGGAGGTCAATCTTGAGGCCGTCATCCAGGGACTGTGGCTGTTCAAGTATTATGTTAGGAGAAGTAAAGAGGCGGGTGGAGGGAAGGGCAAGTTTGTTGCTACGAGCAGCGCAGCAGGGTTATAGTAAGTCGTTTCCCCCACACTTCTCAGTGCTTGGAGAGACTCAAGACACTAACGAGACCCTCAGCGCCATGACACAATGCCCCCAGTATACCGCCAGTAAATACGGCGTGATCGGTCTATGCCGCGCCTCAGGCCCCGTCTTCGTCAAAGAAGGCATTACCGTCAACGCGATCTGCCCTGCCTTCATCCCCACAAATCTCTGCCCACCAGAAGTCGCGGCGCGCTGGCCCAAAGAGCATATCACACCTTTGTCTACAGTGAACAAGGCCATGGACGCTTTCCTCGCAGACGACAACTTGACAGGCCAGGCGGTGGAGCTATCACAGGAGAATATCTACTTTAGACAACAGGTTGACTATCCGAATGAGAGTCAGCGTTGGATCGGCTTGGAGAGTGATAAGATCTGGGATGTGGGGTACAAGGAGCCGCCGAAGAGGGCAGGGTACTAGGATTGAGAGTTGTATCAATCAAATGTCAAGTTATTGGCAGACGCGATGTGTTTGGGTCAACACAGTCTCGGTGGTTCAAACTGAACCACAAGTTCGATGTCATGCGTTTGTGCATGTTCTTGAACTCGTGGTTGAGTTCGAGCCACCTAGACTGTCTTGAGTCATCATCTCTATGAATACCAAACTACCCAGGTCAATAGTTTAACCCTTCCTTTTCTGCCTTCTCACTCTCCTCCCTCATGACCTTGGCATGCGTCTCACTCCTCGGCCTGATCTCGCATTCAAACGGCTCTGGTACACTCATAAACCCTGGCTCCATCTTCGTATTGACTTCCACCTCCTCTCCATTTTTCCCTTTCTTCTTGTTGAGGTTGAACCCCCAAAGTACGCGCGATACGTTGATGAAGAGCGAGCGCTCGGCGACATGGACACCAGGACATCCACGCCGCCCCGCGCCATAGGTGAAGTGATCGCGCTCCAGAGGATCGGGACTGTTCATGTAGTGTGCCGCAGACGCAGTGTGGTTTAGATAGCGAGATGGATCGAAAGCCGTGGGGTCAGACCAGAGCGTTGGATCGTTGTGTATCGCCCTACAATGTGAATTAGCTAAACAGCACTCAGTAAGACGATGGGAAAGGAAGAGAAAACATACCACCAATTCAACACAACAACACTTCCCTTAGGGATAAACCACCCCTCATACCAATCATCCTCACTACTCGCATGTGGCATGCCAAACTTGTTCACCGGCCTCCACCTCAATACTTCTTTGATCACACTCCTCACATACGGCAACTTCTCCTCATCCTCCCACGTCGGCAGTCTGTCTCTACCAATCACTCGATCCAACTCTTCCTGCGCTTTCTTCTGCGCCCCAGCAAACAGCACCATGCAAAGCACAAAGTTGTTCAGCGTCGACCCCGTAGTCTCAGACCCCGCTTCAATAAGCCCACCACACGTATACGCCGCAGCCAGATCATCAATCCCCGACTTCTCAGGCCCATTGAGGTAAAACGTTTTCGTGAAGCAGTCTTTCGCGACACCAGCATCTGTGTCTTTTTTCAATTTGTTCCATAAGTCGAGGTACACTTTGCTGTCTTGTTCACACAGCTTTTGCCCATGTGCTCTCCAGTTACCGAACAGCCATTGTGGGAGTGAGGCTAGCGCGGGAAAGGAATCAATAGCCCACGCGCCGGGTGCGGTGTTTACAGTAAAACGGTCGATGACGCCGTAGATACGTTTTATGAGCGGGTCATCCCAGCTGGGTATGCGGTAGCCGTATGTGACTTGCATGATGACGCTCGCGGAGTAGCGGCGGTTGATGGACATGAAGTCAGCAGGGTCGCGCATTAGTTGTTGCAGCAGGACTT